TATAGACTAGACTATAGACTAGACTATAGACTAGACTATAGACTAGACTATAGACTAGACTATAGACTAGACTATAGACTAGACTATAGACTAGACTATAGACTAGACTATAGACTAGACTATAGACTAGACTATAGACTAGACTATAGACTAGACTATAGACTAGACTATAGACTAGACTATAGACTAGACTATAGACTAGACTAATAGACTATGACTATAGACTAGACTATAGACTAGACTATAGACTAGACTAGAGACTAGACTATAGACTAGACTATAGACTAGACTATAGACTAGACTATAGACTAACTATAGACTAGACTATAGACTAGACTATAGACTAGACTATAGACTAGACTATAGACTAGACTATAGACTAGACTATAGACTAGACTATAGACTAACTATAGACTAGACTAGACTACTAGACTAGACTTAGACTAGACTAGAATAGACTAGAGACTAGACTAGACCTAGACTAGACTAGACTAGACTAGACTATAACTAGACTAGACTAGACTAGACTATAGACTAGACTAACTAGACTAGACTAGACTATAGACTATAGACTAGACTATAGACTAGACTATAGACAGACTATAGACTAGACTATAGACTAGACTATAGACTAGACTATAGACTAGACTAAGACTAGACTATAGACTAGACTATGACTAGACTAGAACTATAGACTAGACTATAGACTAGACTATAGACTAGACTATAGACTAGACTATAGACTAGACTATAGACTATAACTAGACTATAGACTAGACTATAGACTAGACTATAGACTAGACTATAGACTAGACTATAGACTAGACTATAGACTAGACTATAGACTAGACTATAGACTAGACTATAGACTAGACTATAGACTAGACTATAGACTAGACTATAGACTAGACTATAGACTAGACTATACTAGACTATAGACTAGACTAGACTAGACTAGACTAGACTAGACTATAGACTAGACTAGACTAGACTATAGACTAGACTGACTAGACTATAGACTAGACTAGACTAGACTAGACTAGACTAGACTAGACTAGACTAGACTAGACTAGACTAGACTAGACTAGACTAGCTATAGACTAGACTAGACTATAGACTAGACTATAGACTAGACTATAGACTATAGACTCTATAGACTAGACTATAGACTAGACTATAGACTAGACTATAGACTAGACTATAGACTAGACTATAGACTATAGACTAGACTATAGACTAGACTATAGACTATAGACTAGACTATAGACTAGACTATAGACTAGACTATAGACTAGACTATAGACTAGACTATAGACTAGACTATAGACTAGACTATAGACTAGACTATAGACTAGACTATAGACTAGACTATAGACTAGACTATAGACTAGACTATAGACTAGACTATAGACTAGACTATAGACTAGACTATAGACTAGACTAGACTAGACTAGACTAGACTAGACTAGACTAGACTAGACTAGACTATAGACTAGACTAGAATATAGACTAGACTATCTAGACTAGAATATAGACTAGACTATAGACTAGACTAGAATATAGACTAGACTATAGACTAGACTATAGACTAGACTATAGACTAGACTATAGACTAGACTATAGACTAGACTATAGACTAGACTATAGACTAGACTATAGACTAGACTATAGACTAGACTATAGACTAGACTATAGACTAGACTATAGACTAGACTATAGACTAGACTATAGACTAACTATAGACTAGACTATAGACTAGACTATAGACTAGACTATAGACTAGACTATAGACTAGACTATAGACTAGACTATAGACTAGACTATAGACTAGACTATAGACTAGACTATAGACTAGACTATAGACTAGACTATAGACTAGACTATAGACTAGACTATAGACTAGACTATAGACTAGACTAGACTAGACTATAGACTAGACTATAGACTAGACTATAGACTAGACTATAGACTAGACTATAGACTAGACTATAGACTAGACTATAGACTAGACTATAGACTAGACTATAGACTAGACTATAGACTAGACTATAGACTAGACTATAGACTAGACTATAGACTAGACTATAGACTAGACTATAGACTAGACTATAGACTAGACTATAGACTAGACTATAGACTAGACTATAGACTAGACTATAGACTAGACTATAGACTAGACTATAGACTAGACTATAGACTAGACTATAGACTAGACTATAGACTAGACTATAGACTAGACTATAGACTAGACTATAGACTAGACTATAGACTAGACTATAGACTAGACTATAGACTAGACTATAGACTAGACTATAGACTAGACTATAGACTAGACTATAGACTAGACTATAGACTAGACTATAGACTAGACTATAGACTAGACTATAGACTAGACTATAGACTAGACTATAGACTAGACTATAGACTAGACTATAGACTAGACTATAGACTAGACTATAGACTAGACTATAGACTAGACTATAGACTAGACTATAGACTAGACTATAGACTAGACTATAGACTAGACTATAGACTAGACTATAGACTAGACTATAGACTAGACTATAGACTAGACCAGGGGTCGGCAAACTACGGCTCGCTAGCCAAATGCGACTCTTTGGATGTTGAGCTGTGGCTCTTTAGTTTCATAAACACTTTCTTATTTTATATACAAATATTTATATATTTTAAAATTTTTCTGAATCGATTAACGAGCAGTGTTTGTTAAAACTAACAAAACAATTCGCAAACGTTTCTACAATATACACAACTTTTCATCTTTGTTTAATCGTTTTGTACGTAAGCAAAATAAAGCAAATTATTTTTGGGCAAGAAAGAACGAAAACAAAACAATTAGTTTTCAGTCATTTCCATGCTTTTATTTACCATTGTGCCATTTGGAATTGGTATTGGATCTCTAGAAATGCAGTTGATCAATTTAAAAAGTAAAGCTTTGGTTATAGAAAATAGTCAAAGTTTAAAAGCCAATTGATAGAGTTAGGTAAAAAGCCAACTAACAAATGAATGTTAAGAGTCGTTTGTGAAACTTTCTAAAGCCATACAAACCTATCTCTCCCACTGAAAAGTTCACTATAAACGAATGGGGCATCATGAGCGCTCCTACGAAGTGCCATTAGATAAGATGTAAATCATGATCGTACATTTCGAAATTTTCATGTTTTTCGAAATAAAACATATTTTTTGGAAATTGAAAGTATCGTAATTAATTAATTAATTAATAATGTGGAGAGTTTGGATACAGTTAAATACTAAAAAATTGGTCTATTTGAAAACTTCAATATTGGGTGTTGGTTGGTAGTATCAATTCGGAACCCATCTTATTAAATTTGGTACAGATATTTTTGTTTCTATAAATTTGTTTATGACGAATTTCACAACTATGCTGGTATTATTAAGCCTGTTATGAGCGTAAAAGTCATTTTCTGAAGAAGAATTTATATGCGGGTATGGTCAACAATGAACTGATCATTAAAAAATTTTGGAGAGAGATTTTTCTTCCTATAATACTTGTTTGTGTCGAATTGCGTCGCTATACTAATATGTATTATTAAATCAGTTATGAGCGTTAGAGTCATTTTCCGAAGTAGACCTTATAAAAGGGGATTGGTCAATTATGTTCGGATCCTCTTAAAATTTGGTCGAGAAATTTTGTTCTTATAAAACTTGTTTGTGTCAAATTTCGTCGCTTACTGCTATTATTAAGTCACTTAAGAGCGATAGGGTAATTTTCTAGTGGTGATCTTATATGGTGGTAGGATCAATCAATATGAGTCGATAGTCACCAAATTTGGTAAAGAGATTTTTGTTCTTGTTTGTGTTGAATTTCGTCATAATACAGATATTATTAAGACAGTTATGAGCATTAAAATCAAATTTGGAAGATAGATATTGGTTCTTATAAAAGTTGTTTATTTTGAATTTCGTTGAAATATTGCTACTGTTAAGTAAATTATGATCGTTAGTCATTTTCTGAAAAGGACCTTATATTGGGGTTGGTAAAATATGGTTCGATGTCCGCAATACATCACAATATAATTTCTGTATGCATAAATAAAACTTTATCTTAATTACCGCCAAATTAATATATTACTTTATGCTGTATTAGCTTCATCATCAATTTTCGTTATTTTTACATTTCCTGATATACTTCGAAAAGCCCTACTCTAATAAACTTCTATATTTTAAAAAATGTATTCGAATGGCACATAAAAATTCAAAAAGTATTTGTAGTCAAAAATCTATAAGAAAGATTCCTTGCAGAATGTCCTGTAGATAATTAAATCAAAAATTATGTTTTTGAACTGAATTCATAAAGTATTTCAACTAAATTCGAATCGGGGTTTGTTGGTCAAATAGGCCGAAACATGGAAGTCATAAGGCTTCTTTGTTTTCATAAAGATTTTCGGAAATTGGAATTTTTCTTTGAAAAAATTCTAAATCTGTTAAAATAATCTCTATATTACAAGGATTCGCTAAAAGTGCCATTTTTGTTTTATTTGATGCCAATTTATAACATTTCACAGTTTCGAAGTTAAAAATTTAAAATTTTCATGAATTTTAAGGTAATTTTAGAACATAACCTTTTAGAATTTCTTTGATGACGCTGATTTTAATTATAGGAGTGTAAAATTTAGCAGGAACATGTATTTTGATACGGTGCGTCATAATCAATCAAAAAGTCGATTTTGATTTTTTTGCAACTTAGGGCTTTTTGGATTTCATATGAAAATTTTTAAAGTTTTAATAAACAAAAATTTTGTGGCTCTTTTAAAACATATGTTTCGTAAACTGTAAATTTTGGCTCTTCCGACTCAAAAGTTTGCCGACCCCTGGATTAGACTATAGACTAGACTATAGTCTAGTTTAGTTTAGTCTATTATTTAGTTTATAGTCTAGTTTATTAAGTAAATTTTTGCATTTTAACTCCTTACATGGTAATGAAACTTTTTGCCAATAAAAAAAAACATTGTTTTTGAAAATTATAGTTTTTCTTTAATGTACAATATTTATTAATGTTTTATATTAATTACACTTTATGAAGCATTGCAAAAACATCGACACAAAAAAATAAATCATCATTTTCAGATCCAGCTTTACCATGGATTTTGTATTCTCCTTCGCCATTACGTATTGGCAGTGACACATAAGTTGGTTTTTTGATATCAAAGTCTATTCTTTGCTAAAAGATAAATTGTATATAATTAGATTTGGTAAATTTAATTATATTAATTAAAAAAGAAAACAAATCGATATAATTTACGAATTATTATAAATCTTTATCAAAATATCGATTGCAGTTGTAATGTAATTAATATGTGTTTTATATATACATACACCTGCAGTAAATGGACATTTTAATTCTTCCGCTGGGGTATTTTCTAAATAGGGAAACCATACTTCTGCTTTGTTAAAAAAGGAAGTACATGCATCACCACGCTTCATAGAGTAAACTGTAGGTTGCCATTTACCCCGTTCAAATTTGAATAATTCAAAAGATACCTGAAAGGATGAAAATCCGGAATAAATTTAATTTATACTTAGGGATATCAATTACCGGTAATGGCTTCTCCACTGTAGTTTTTAAAGTGATATAACCATTAAGGATCAAACTTCCGTCCTCAGTTTGTGCGATATCTAAATTAGTAACATCAAAGAGTTGATCAAGATAATTATTTGGATAATTTTCGCAGGGTGAAAAAATTCCTTCGTTTATGAATTCAAATTCATAGTTATTTTGACTATAGGCGATCTGAAATAAATTGAAGTCATTGTTAAAATAATAATACCGGTGGCAACCAGATTTCTCTGCATCGACTAAGTCAAACCTAAGGAATCAAAATAGGTAATTATATGTATGTATGTACTATACTATACCAAGTCCTTATTATTACTCATCTTGTGATTTATATAGCAATACATCTTAATATTTTTTGTAAACCCCATGGAAAGTAGTTAGAATCTTCAAATCTTCAATACATATAAACTTAATACTCACATTTATCGAACTTAAAATTATTGCAAAAAAATTCAACTTCATAGTTTAAGCACTGCAAATTAACTAAATATTTATTTGTAAATTAAACTTGTAATAACTTTACAAACATATTAGCTAGCCCTATTTAAACCCATCTAAATGTATTACTTTTTATCAAAATTTGTAATTATTAGCCAAAAACATAAATCTGGTAATTGCTTTTAACTAGACTTTACAAAAATATTTTGATAAAAGCAGAACTTAAAAAAATAACACGAAAATATATTATAAATCCAATTAATGTCGTAATAGAGTACATGACAATTGCCTAATCCAAATATCAAAATAATGAGTTAATCAATTGTAATAAATTAACAATAAATTGTCTTTCCGAGGATTCCTTCCAGAACTATCGATCGGGCTATAGTCTAGACTACAGTCTATACTATAGTCCAGACAATTGAGAGATCAGGGATTAGTCTATTATCTATTAGATAGACCATGAACTAGACTATAGACCGGTCTATAGACCAGATTATAGACTAGTCTATATATCAGAATATAGACTAGTCTATATACCAGACTACAGACTAATCTATATACTAGTCTATATTCCAGACTACAGAGTAGTCCATAAACTAGGCTATAGACTAATGCTTAAATTATAGGCTAGACTAAGGATTAGAGTACATCATATACTATAGACTAGGCTATAGAGTAGACTATAGAATAAACCATAGACTAGACTATAGACTAGTCTATATAACAGACTATATACTAGTCCATATACCAGACTATCAACTAGTATGTGTACCAGACTATAGACTAGACTATATATCATATATAGACTAGTCTATATACCACACTACTAGTCTATGCGCCGGACTATAGACTAGTCTATGCAGCAGACTATAGACTAGTCTATACACCAGACTATAGGCTAGACTATGCACCAGACTAAAGACTAGTCTATATACCACACTATAGACTAATTTATACACCAGACTATAAACTTCTATATATACCAGACTACGGACTATTCTATAGACCTAAACTATAGACTAGACTAAGGACAAACTATATTCTATACCAGACTATAGACTAGCCTATATACCAGACTATAGTCTAGTCTATATACCAGACTATAGGTTAGTCTATATATCAGACTATAGACTAGTCTATGCACCAGACAATAGACTATAGACTAGTCTAGGCACCAGACCATAGACTAGTCTATGTACCAGACTATAGACTAGACTATATACCAGACTGCGGACTATTCAATAGACCTAAACTATAGACTATACTAAGTGCTAGAATATATTCTAAACTCTATAGACTATAAACTAGGCTATATACTAGTATATAGAATAGACTAAGGACTAGAGTACATTCTAAACTATAGCCTATGCTATAGAATAGACTATATACCAGACTATTGGCTAATCTATATACCAGACTATTGCCTAACCTATATACCAGACTATAGACTATGTAGTCTATATACCAGGCAATAGACCAGTCTATATATCAGACTATCGACTAGTCTATATACCAAACTATAGACTAGTTTATGCACCGGACTATAGAATAGTCTTTACACCAGACTATAGAATAGTACTATAGACTATGTACAGACTAGTCTATATACTCTACTATAGACTAATCTACCTACCAGACTATAGACTAGTCTATATACCAGACTATGGACAAGTATATATACCGGACTATATACATATAGCAGACTATGGACTAGTTTATATATTTTATTAAAATATACTTGAAAATTAATTATTTTAGGAACTCGAGAGGTGTAAATTCTGAGGTAATACTTAGAATAAGCTATTAGAAATTTCAGTAAAGTTATTGATAGTGGTGATAGTTTTATTAGTCTGGGAGTCGTAAGTGCAGTATTGAAAGAGTATATTAAAAATTTTGCAAATATATAGACAGATTTAACCGCTAAACTACTATATGAAATTTGACATAGAAAAATCCTAATTTAAAAATGAATATAAAATAATATTAATGGTATTTTAAAGTATGTATATAGTAAAGTCCTGTTATTGATTCTTACGGATATTATTTATTTAAATGCTTTTAGAAGTGCAAAATCAAATTGGAGGATATTATTGAAATAAACAACATAATGTTACGGACATTAAATTAAATCTAAATCTTATGTAACATTGCATAAATTTCAGCACATATAAAAAAATCATCTAATTCAGAACCAGACATAACGTGAATCTTGTATTCTCCTTCGGCATTGCGAATTGGTAGTGACATAAAGGTGGGCTCATTAATATCGAAATCAAATCTTTGCTAAAATTCAAATTATATTTTAATATAAATTCATAATTAATTCTTAATACTTACTCCCTTCGTAAATGGACAGGTCAATTGTTCTGCTGGTGTATTTTTTAAATAGGAATTCCACAGTTCCACCTTACTAAAACAGGCTGTACAAGTATCATCACGCTTTTGAGTGTAAATGGTGGGTTGCCATGTTCCACGTTCCTTTTTGAATACCTCAACATTTAACTGTCAAGTATACAGAAATCCAAAAATTTTATAAAATTTACATCCTTCTATAAATATATTCTCGAAGATATCCTCAGAAGTAGGTAGATGATAATTACCGGCAGTGATCCCTCCACTGTTCGTGTTACATCCATCTTCGGTCTGTTCAATATTTGCATTACTTATATCAAACAATTGATCAATATAATTATCTGGATGATTTTCGCAAGGTGAAAAAATTCGTTCTTCTAAGAATTCCAATTCATAATCGTTTTGACCACAAGCGATCTAAAAGATTTAAAAGTTAATATATTATAATAAGATCTATAAGGATAATAGATAATATTTGTAGCAAAAATAAGTCCCTTATATCTCGTTAAAAAGTCAGTCAGTTAGTCCAAGTTGTTAGTTAGTTAGTTAGGTAGTTAGTTAGTAAGTTAGTAAGTTAGTAGTTAGTTAGTTAGTTAGTTAGTTAGTTAGTCAGTTAGTTAGTTAGTTAGTTAGTTAGTTAGTTAGTAGTTAGTCAGTTTAGTTAGTTAGTTAGTTAGTTAGTAGTTAGTTAGTTAGTTAGTTAGTTAGTTAGTTAGTAGTAGTTAGTTAGTTAGTTAGTTAGTTAGTTAGTTAGTTAGTTAGTTAGTTAGTTAGTTAGTTAGTTAGTTAGTTAGTTAGTTAGTTAGTTAGTTAGTTAGTTAGTAGTTAGTTAGTTAGTTAGTTAGTTAGTTAGTTAGTTAGTTAGTTAGTTAGTTAGTAGTTAGTTAGTTAGTTAGTTCGTTCGTTCGTTCGTTCGTTCGTTAGTTAGTTAGTTTTCGTTCGTTCTTCGTTCGTTCGTTCGTTCGTTCGTTCGTTCGTTTCGTTCGTTCGTTCGTTCGTTCGTTCGCTCGTTCGTTCGTTCGTTCGTTCTTCGTTCGTTCGCTGTTCGTTAGCTACTTCGTTTCGTTCGTTCGTTCTGTTCGTTTCTTTCGTTCGTTCGTTCGTTCGTTCTTTCGTTCGTTAGTTCGTTCGTTCGTTTCGTTCGTTCGTTCGTTCGTTCGTTCGTTCGTTCGTTTCGTTTCGTTCGTTTGTTCGTTCGTCGTTCGTTTCGTTTCGTTCGTTCGTTCGTTCGTTCGTTCGTTCGTCGTTCGTTCGTTTTCGTTCGTTCGTTCGTTTTCGTTTCTTTTTCGTTCGTTCGTTCGTTTCGTTCGTTCTCGTTCGTTCGTTCGTTCGTTCGTTCTTCGTTCGTTCGTTCGTTCGTTTTCGTTCGTTCGTTCGTTCGTTCGTTCGTTCGTTCGTTCGTTCGTTCGTTCGTTCGTTCGTTCGTTCTTCGTTCGTTAGTTAGTTGGTTAGTTCGTTGTTAGTTAGTTAGTTGTTGTTCGTTTGTTAGTTGTTCGTTAGTTGTTAGTTTTTCGGTTAGTTCGTAGGTTTGTTCGTAGTTAGTTAGTTCGTTATCGTTCGTTCGTTTCGTTCGTTCGGTTGTTGTTGTTTGTTGGTTCGTTTATTCGTTCGGTGTAGGTAGGTGTTATTTCCTCTTCACGGTTGTTTGTGTTGGCGAAGTATTCTTCATCGATCTTTCAGAAAATGATCAATCCTTTTTTTCCTTCTATTATCCTACTTCTAGATAACGGAGATCGAATGTGTGTTACGTACATGTGCTTTTGAAGGTAAACTTAAAGAATTTCGCGTATTCAATCTATTTATCAAAATTTTATACTCAATATATCGTAGTTGTTATTATTAATATAATATTTTGAACATCATCGTTTAAACACAAAAAACTAACTGAGTTATTAATTATAATTTTAAATAATAATTATATCCTATTTAAAGTCATGCAATACAAAACGCAATTATAATTTGTTTCTTATCAAATATCAAACAATCATTATTCAAAACTAATTACTAAAATTACAATAGAAAATGTTTAAAAGATATCTACGATAATATATTTTTACATATCATTTAAATATCATTATCTGTTAAAGGTGTTATGATGAGAAAAAAGAGGAATCAATTCATCTTCTCTGTCGCAGAATTACATAGCATAATGCTAGATCTCCTTAACGCTTGTTCATATCAACACTTCATAACTTCTAAATTATACTCACTCCCTCTATCGTCTGCTTTCTCCCTAGCTTCATATCTTTCAAAAGTACTAATAACATACGCGTGCTATAACGCAGCCAGCATACCAAACCCTACTTAAAACCTGAACAGCATAGACATTTGGGTCCAAAATGCCTCTTTGTGATTAACAAATAAAATGAAAATCATATCATATATTTCACGAGGGACATGAAAGGACGACTAATCTGAAGACGAATTGAAAAATTCAAACTTGCATTAACAAGTAATTCAAAAATAACGGAAATTACTCTGGAAAATTGTGTCTATATTTAACTTTACCAACTTAACATGGCTCCCTAAACAAGTAGCTGTGTTTATTTGTTATTAAATAAAAACAGCTGTTTGACAAAAACAAAATTTTGTTTTGATCTTTGAATTTCAAAACAAACACGCATTATTCGAAATATTCGAGAAAAAATTTTGCTATTTCATTCTAAGCAAAATGAGTGAAATTAAAGTAAAACCATTAAAATTAAATATTTTAATTTTTTTAACAATTTCAAATAATTGTTTACCTATTTCAGATAGAATTTGCCGTGGAAATGAAAGGAGAACATTGCGCCTGTAAGCTGCGAGAAGCTTTAAAAGGTTTGGGAGAACTAGAAATAGATGCTAATTTGGGAAGAGTTATAGTACATACTCAGGAGCCGTGGTTTATTGTAAAGGAGAAAATAGAGGAAACAGGACGCAAAGCAGTACTTAATGGTTTTGGTGGCCAGTCGGCTGTTTCCATAATAAATAACACAGGCAGTGATGTAGACCAATGTCCCATACAAGGAGTTATAAGATTTACATCGATAAGAAAAGATAAACCAGGTTTGGTAGTTGATGGCGTGGTCGATGGTCTAAGTCCTGGACTTCATGGCATTCACATTCATGAGACGGGAGATGTTTCGTCTGGTTGTGATTCTGTTGGCAGTCATTATAATCCTAGAGGTTCACCACATGGCTCACCGGATGATGATATAAATAATAGACATGCTGGAGATTTGGGTAATATAAGGGCAGATGACACAGGTCGTGCTACATTCCGTTTTATGGACAATGTCTTAGAAGTTTGGGAAATTATTGGACGTTCTGTTGTTATAACACAAAATCCCGATGATTTGGGTAAAGGTCAAAATGAACAAAGTCGTATTGATGGTAATGCTGGAGACAGGTATGTTGTTAGATTTCTCCTCTAGAAACCGTTTAATAACACCTTTTTTCTTTTAATTTCATTTTACTGGCAGAATTGCTTGCGGTATTATAGCTCGTTCTGCCGGTATACTGCAAAACTTTAAGAAGATTTGTGCCTGTGATGGTGTTACACTTTGGGATGAACGTTATAAGCCCTTAGCGGGTGGCAAACGAGCACAAAAACTGTAAATTTAAACATCAGAATTTTTATGTTTTTAAGTAAATAAGTTAAGAAATATTTATACCAAATACTAATTGCTGTCTTCTATAACAATACTTGCATTGATGGCATCTACTTGTAAGTTTCCCTTTTTAATTTGTTGTAGCCGTTGTTTGCATTTATTTTTATAAGTTTGTACCAATTTACCACACAGCACCGGTGGTGAAATGGCTATAAGTGTATGAATCTAAAGAAAATAATTTTATTATTTTAGTTTTAAAACTTAACTATTTGACATTATGAAATACCTCTAAATAATCGACTTCCATTTCGTAGTTGATGCTTTGCTCCAGCAAAGCTAAAATATTTTGAAATTCTTCGGCTTTTAAGGAAAATTTCATTTCACCTATATTGGTTTTATACCAATCGGCATAATTGTTTAAATTTTTCGTTATGTCCATGGTATTGGCGGTGGCAGCTCGGGCAGTTAGCAGCATATGCAGTATACTACGTTTGCAGGGTATAGTAGCGCATTGTTTAAGACGTAATTTAAGATATTCTAGATATAAATAACAATAAAGCTGTAAGCCTCAGAAAGTTATTGTCTTTTTAAAATCAACTTACTTCTTATATAAGGTCCCGCTATAACATTGTTTTTACTGGAAATTGTTTGCAGCATAATTAAATAAAATTTCCATTCTTTAAAGTTTTCAATGGTAGAAGATTTCAGTAAGAAATTCAAAGATTCCTCAGGATGTTCACATAATAACTATTTATAAAATAAACAAATATTCACAATATTTTGGAAATTTGAAAAAAAAAACTCACCTGCTTATATAAATCTTGGGGAAATTTCATATCATCTACACCCTCATTAATCCAAGTGGAAAAATTATGAAACGCCTCTTTGATATTTGTTTGCTGAAGGCCCAATATAGAAGTAAAAAGTTTGTGAATAATTTTCACTCGAATTTCAGCTAAAATTAAAATTAATTTATAATTTTTAGCAAAACTAAAATATGTAGTATACTTCACCCACCTGTTACAGATTTCTTAATATAATCAAGAAAACTTAAATCATTCAATTCGGGTTTTTGTAATAAATCTTTAAAAAGATTTTCCAAACTTTCATCTAATATAGCATTTAAACGTATGGAATTAGCAGAGTCTGCAGAACATTTTTTTTTATAAAATTAAAAATAAAATCAAATTACAAATAAATTTCAATATTTCCACTTAAATTACCTAAAGTGGCATTAATTAAAAGATTTGTTATTAAATCATATTCAGATTCCAATAGATCGTTTATTATCAATTGAACTTCTTGTATATCTTCACAGCTAAAAATGGAAATATTTTTTTTTTTTTTTTAATTATAACTTTATAAGTATTATAATATACTGCACCTTAGTATATATTCGGTGGCGGTTAATATTCTTAATTTTTGTAATATACTTAAGATTTTTAAGCTGCCAATATTCCAGATTAATTTACAAAAATATTTTGCCACTAAATACTAAAATACATTGTTTTTATTGGAGTAGTTTTTTGCAAATATTTCAAAATTATTCTTACCCTTTCGCTAGCATTTAATGTTTGTAGTAACTCCTCCAATTCAATTTTATCCTTATTTTGTATATCGTCATTTTCTGCTTGAGTTTTGAGGACCTAAAAGAAAATGTATAAATAGTTGGTCTTTCATATGTGGGCAAGACAGAGATATAAATTAAACTCCTGTTCTGAATTTATATTTCAAATAATAATTACCAAAGAATAGTATAATTACATTCAAAAAATAGGTCTCATAAAACTCAAGTAGCTTATTTGTAAAATAGGTGGCGGTAAGCATCTTATCTTATAAATACAAGATAACCACTTTCAATCTTCTCCGCTTAAATGGGATTAGTGCAAAATATCTAGGAGTCATCCTAGATTCGAAACCCAAGCTAGAGTAAACAAAGTGTGTGCGGCCCTATACTATAAGTCCAACGTAAAAGATTTGAAGAAATCTTTCACGCATCAGCGCTTATGATAACAGAAGTACTTCGTACCACGCCTTCAAAGGCTCTTTTTGTCATAATTTAATGGCTCAAGAAGTTGTCCTCGACTCAGCGATTAGACTTAGGACAATTAGTATGTGGAAAGTAACTTTTGACTATCGAATCAACACGATTTAAATGTGGTGGAATCAATCTTCCGTGATGGATCGTAGAAGATCTTCAACGATGGATCCATCTCATGACTCACGAAGATTCCTACTTCAGTTTCCAAGGCAAAAACAATGAAACTTAACTGCAGTTGTGATTTGTCACTGGCATTTCGGGCTCCATTATAGTATACTGAACTTAACCAGTAATAACTTCAGCAGGAGCTTTCAAGATGAAGAAGAGCATATCACTCACTTCCACTGTCAGTAGGTACCAATTTTCTGCACGATCTAATGGAACTGTCTGGGGCTGACATCCGAAATATTAATTTCCTTATTCGAGCGACAAACTGGTTTGGATTGGAATCCAGAGTTATTTGGTCGAAATGTACTATTACGCAGACCACTCTTCTCTTTCCAGGTATCACAAAGGGGTCATAGAAATGGACCCAAGTCTGTCCCCAGTGATAACAGCACATGGAAAAAGATGTCAGTAAACTTTTTATTTTATATACTGATACATAACCCAAGACTTGATAGAGGCACAAAGGAAGCACATCGTGACAGGTGGTTTCTATCAAAATCGGTTCATAATTGACCATCATCTTATATCAGCTGTAGGGTATTATATAGTCAGCATACATAGTAAGTGATTGACTACAATTATTCTTCTTTTTCGTTTATATTCTAAAAGGTTTCATTAACTACGATTTATTCTTTAAATTATGTCTATTTTTATAAAAAGACAAAAAAATTTTGCCAGAAAAGAGTACGACCTTATTTTCGATCCTAAAATTTTGTTTGCATTCAGTGTAGTCCACACTTACTACCAAATATCTGTTACTCCATCACTGCTTTAGAATTTCTTCAATTTTATAAAAATTATAAAATATATTTTTAAAATAGCTCTCATATAACTCTAATTGAAATACTTACATTGCAAATTAATTTTAAACTAGAGCCGATTATAAAAACCATTTTAAACTTGTAATTAAATAAATAAAAACGTACGCAATAAATTTTGCCGCCATGCAAACGCAATTATTTGTAAACAAAGTAAAAATTGCACAATCAGCTGTTATTGTTTACATTACATATGTACATATATGAAAAACAAGGGTTACCAAATTCAAAAGAATTTTAAATCAAACAGTTTAAAAGTGGATTAAAAACGTTTTTAAAACTTAAGTTTTTTATGCATTAATCAACTTTAAAATAAATTTCCTCTTAACTACTGAAAAATCTTGAAATTTTTTAGAAATACATTTTATTAACTAAAACCCATTTTCAGTTAAAAATAGACCTATTAATTATGTTATTTTTGTAAAACAAACCGACTCTTTCCACTGTTTTCCAACTAAAAGATCTTCAAACTAATCTCAATAAAACAATTTTATTTATTTACTCTCTTGTCTTTTGTGATAATATAAAATAATTGTATACGATACGATAAACACAAAACCATATTGATAAAACAATCATTAACAGCGACACAACTGATAAATATGAAATTTAAAGAATTATATATAATTTTTCTCTGCTAGTATTAAACGAGAACGTAAACACAACAGAACCAAGATTATTAAAATATATAGTTAATCACATAAATAACAAAAAAAAAAAAAAAAAGAACTGAAACCAAAACAAATTATAAAAAATTAAAAGAAAAAATGCAAGCAAACAATAATATTTTTTTTTAAATTTTAATTAACAATAAGTTATATTAATGCAAAAATTATGAATGAATTTGGCATAATTATAATATGTTTTTTAACAGTGTCATTCTTATTATTCATTTTAAGAGTAAGTAAATATTTTTCAACATTTTCTTTAAAACAAAGCATTAACCACTGAATATCTCATTAACCTTTTGCAACTTACTATTTTGGAAAAATTTATTTAATTCAAAATGAATGGAAATGAGTTAAAATAAAACTCATTGCAATTTTTGCGATTTGAAAGTATTCTTAATTCTGCAGATAATAAACAAAATGTACTGAAATCATAAGAACTTCAAAAGCAAAAAGAACTAACATCAGCTAGACTGAATGCTAATATTAAAGTTTCAGTAAACTGAAAGTCTGAAATTTTTATTTCTGAATAGTAACGGTGGGTTGTACCAATACCGCGGTGTACCGTCTTCATTTTCACAACTGTGGTCAACATAGTAACTATCTACCTATCTATCTATCTATCTATCTATCGAGCTATCTATCGAGCTATCTATCTAGAGCGAGCGAGCGAGCGAGAGAGCGAGCGAGCGAGCGAGCGAGCGAGCGAGCGAGCAGCGAGCGAGCGAGCGAGCGAGCGAGCGAGCGAGCAGGAGCGAGCGAGCGAGCGAGCGAGCGAGCGAGCGAGCGAGCGAGCGAGCGAGCGAGCGAGCGAGCGAGCGAGAGAGCGAGCGAGCGAGCGAGCGAGCGAGCGAGCGAGCGAGCGAGCGAGCGAGCGAGAGAGCGAGCGAGCGAGCGAGCGAGCGAGCGAGCGAGCGAGCAGCGAGCGAGCGAGCGAGCGAGCGAGCGAGCGAGCGAGCGAGCGAGCGAGCGAGCGAGCGAGCGAGAGAGCGAGCGAGCGAGCGAGCGAGCGAGCGAGCGAGCGAGAGAGAGCGAGAGAGCGAGCGAGCGAGCGAGCGAGCGAGCGAGAGAGCGAGCGAGCAGAGCGAGCGAGCGAGCGAGCGAGCGAGCGAGAGAGCGAGCGAGCGAGCGAGCGAGCGAGCGAGAGAGCGAGCGAGCGAGCGAGCGAGCGAGCGAGCGAGCGAGCGAGCGAGCGAGCGAGCGAGCGAGCGAGCGAGCGAGCGAGCGAGCGAGCGAGCGAGCGAGAGCGAGCGAGCGAGCGAGGAGCGAGCGAGCGAGCGAGCGAGCGAGCGAGCGAGAGAGCGAGCGAGCGAGCGAGCGAGCGAGCGAGCGAGCGAGAGCGAGCGAGCGAGCGAGCGAGCGAGCGAGCGAGAGCGAGCGAGAGAGCGCGAGCGAGCGAGCGAGCGAGCGAGGAGCGAGCGAGCGAGCGAGCGAGCGAGCGAGCGAGCGAGCGAGCGAGAGAGCGAGCGAGCGAGCGAGAGCGAGCGAGCGAGCGAGCGAGCGAGCGAGCGAGCGAGCGAGCGAGCGAGCGAGAGCGAGCGAGCGAGCGAGCGAGAGAGCGAGCGAGCGAGCGAGCGAGCGAGCGAGCGAGCGAGAGCGAGCGAGCGAGCGAGCGAGCGAGCGAGCGAGCGAGCGAGCGAGCGAGCGAGCGAGCGAGCGAGCGAGAGCGAGCGCGAGCGAGCGAGCGAGCGAGCGAGCGAGCGAGCGAGCGCGAGCGAGCGAGCGAGCGAGCGAGCGAGCGAGCGAGCGAGAGCGAGCGAGCGAGCGAGCGAGCGAGAGAGCGAGCGAGCGAGCGAGCGAGCGAGCGAGCGAGCGAGCGAGCGAGAGCGAGCGAGAGCGAGCGAGCGAGCGAGCGAGCGAGCGAGCGAGCGAGCGAGCGAGCGAGCGAGCGAGCGAGCGAGCGAGCGAGCGAGCGAGCGAGCGAGCGAGCGAGCGAGCGAGCAGCGAGCGAGAGCGAGCGAGCGAGCAGCAGCGAGCGAGAGCGAGCGAGCGAGCGAGCAGCGAGACGAGCGAGCGAGCGAGCGAGCGAGCACGAGCGAGCGAGCAGGAGCGAGCTAGAGCGAGCTAGCGAGCGAGTAGCGAGCGAGCTAGCGATCTAGCTAGTCGATCTATCGAGCGATCGAGATATATATCTATCTATCTATCTATCTATCTATCTATCTATCTATCTATCTATCTATCTATCTATCTATCTATCTATCTATCTATCTATCTATCTATCTATCTATCTATCTATCTATCTATCTATATCGTCCAATAGATTGCGTCAAACTTTTAATTTTCAGTCAATATATATTAGGTCCCGTAACTGCGTCTTTGTTTAGGTCTCAAAGTTCTGGAGAATTATATTATATTTTCTTTATTCTTTTAGATAATAATTATATGTTGGCATAATTTAATGTTATCGCGGCAAATAAAAATTCTTGAACAACAACAAGCAGGTGAGTAAATTTATTAGTATTTAATCATACATTACAAATACCTTCCCAATTATTTAATACAAAATTTAAAAAGTTCATTCACGTGAGATAAAAATAATTGTAATAAACAAATCTTTTAAAATGTATACAACTCCTGAATAAAAAAGGAAATAGTAGTTATAGTATAGTAGTTATGATTAAATTAGAAAAACAATTTAAAAAATCAACTAAAACAAATAACAATTCCAGTATTTCCAAACGTCCACACCAATTAGAGAAACAAATATATATTTATTTGTAACTATAGATAATTATTCCAAACATAGATTTTCCGTTATCTTATCAATAGGTCATTTATTAAATCAAATCTATATGTATAAAAGAACAATGATATCGTTTAAAAAGTATCATTGTTTATCGGAAAAAGAAAATATTGTGTAAAAAAAAAAAAACAATAAAATAGATATATAATTTTGCACAAATACGAACAGTAGCAAATGAAATAGATAACAATAAATCGAAGTATTAACTTTTGTGTACTTTACCATTTGTGTGATTTCTTTTTATCGAAAAAAATTAGACAAATAATTACCAAAAGTCCTAAACAAAATTAGTTTTGTAAATTAGTTGCAATAATAATTTCATAACAAAAGCGTGTATATTTCGTGGTAAAGGAATAACGAAAAAAAAAAAACTTAGTAAAAATATGTCTAATACAAATCCTTTGAATGTTACCGTAAACTCTACCATGGCAACTCTTATAAATCAAACGGTAACGGTTTTGAATCTAAATACCACTCAATCAACACCTTTTATAAATTCAACATGGATTCCTTATAACGACTCTTCGGTATATCCAAATGTAAACTCTAGTACTAATGGCTATTTACCCTGGTATTGGAATAACTCGGTATATAATCCTCCGGTGTATACTCCCTATTGTCCCGATTGTTATCCTAACTATGTTACCATCGATCCACCATTGATTACATATTCCTATACGTATTCATATGCTTATTATGTCTTGTTACTTTTGCTATTAATTGTGGCGATTATTTGCATTAAGGTATTTATTTTTAAAAGAAAGAATTGTAGAACGTTTTTTAAAACCATTTTATAATAACTATTTCAAGATTGGTATATCACGTCGCAAGGAATTGGAACGACGAGCGGCTGCTCAACGTAGAAGAGGTAAAGTTTTTTTTTTGTTAAAATATATATTTTATCTTAGTTTTTCCGACTACTTGTAAGAGAAAAAGGTATTGGGGTCTGTCACAGAATCCATTCCGATCGAAAGTGGAAACTTCTATAAATAAGAAAACGACAACTTTTTCGGAATGAAGCTATTGTTAGTAAGACTTCTAAATATAATTAAGCAATTCATCAACTTTTTCTCAAAATTTAAGCCAATCTTACACAATCTGGTAATATGGGGGCTAGTTGCCGGCAGAACTTGCCCTGGATAGTAATTGTTTGAGGTTCCTTCGGGATCCACGTAGTGGCTGTGATTTATCGTGGGGATACTGTTGATTTAAGGACTAATGTATGCATAAGCTATATATGTCTATATTCTCTATCCGATTCAGTTGCCATCTCTAAAGATGTCACTGGGTGATGTAACAAAGCAAGTTCAGCTTGATTCTAGAACCCGTTGGGTATTTCTAATCCTTCTTGTAGTAGGGCGCGGATATATATTGACAACTGTTAGTTGCCTGCCATTCCGTTTATGATCTTTATAATCAGAGAATGGAACTGATCTAAATTGGTGAAATTACGAGAAAGACACCTGCACTTTGGGAGACTAATACTGATTGAATATGATGTTTGTCATACTTGACTTGACATAGAGAGGGATCCAGATTTATTTGTAATATATTTCGGACTACCAAATATGTCTCTAGATGCTGTTGCCGAATCAATAGATCCCTGTGATGTGGTTGCGGGGGCTTTAAAATGTTAAGGAATGTGCTTGATAGGATCATTGAAGGATGTGGGTGCTTCGGAATGGCTCATGACAGCGGGATTCCAGTTAGCCCATCTCCGATGTAATGTCTGAGTTTAATGATACAGCAGGTACGTTGTGGGGGGTTTGTGCAAATCCCTCTCTATCAATCCAACTAGCAACTGGTCTCATGCAGTCTATCATTCCGCATTGTGATCACTTGGCAAGTGATTTAATAGGTCGAGTACTCGAGAACGCTCAGGTGGCAATTTTTGCAATCTTCTTCATCGGGGGCGATTAGTGGACCGTTTTAAGTCCACCTAGTGGACGAAAAAAGCCACCGTAAGATTAAGTCGTCAATAAAGGTACTCACGATAAGGACATTGACATTCTTGTCAAATTTTCTGTGAAATCGTTTAAAGTTGATCATGCTAACGATATCATATCGTAAATTTCAAGACGTCTTAAATTTCCTTAATTACATAGATACGATATTATTAATAACGACAATTTGTATTTGTTTAGTTTTAATTTCTTCGTGTTTTATTAAAAATATTTAATACTAATATTAAATTAAAACAAATTAAACATTAAGCAAATTCCTGACTTTATTTTAACTGTACATTTACAGTATATATAAAAAATTATTTAAAATGTTTAGCATTCTTTAATAAATTAACTAACTAGCACAACATAAAAAAAACAAGAAATCCTACAGGTTAAAATAATTATCAAAGTAATTCTCTGACAGAAGCTATTAAACCAAAATTAATTAAGCCCAAATACAAATAGTAAATATTCAATTTGAAAATTTCCCATTTCTCGCGCAAGAAAATACCCAAACGTTGTGATTTCTTTGTGCTTTGTGTCATTTCTTCGCTAAACGAAGAGTGCAGGCAACATTTGGACATGACCCAAAAAGCGGTCATGCGATTTTGTGTGCGTAATGTTGATTCAATGCCACGTATCAAATCGTTGGTTTTCAAAATCAATAACATTTGACGATCGACTTGTTCGAGTACATCGGATATATGAGGTAGTACTAGTGAAGTATTATTTTGGAGAGTGTTTTTCTGTAAGAGAAGGGAAAGGTGTTAGTTTGATAGGTTTATTTATAATATTGAAAGATCAAACCTCTTCTTTGGTATATTTAACTTTATTAACACCCTGCACTAAAGTCTCCCACGGTCGTCCCGTAACCATGCAGGCAAAAAGTCCATATAAATCTCCTTTAATACCCAAATTGTGAGAATATTTACGCATACCCACACGATCAACATTTAAAATACTCAACCATAATTTGGAATAATCATAACGAAATTTATCCGTTAAATTGGCATATAAACCATGATCGAGTAATACAATTTCTACCTTTTTTTGTTCATTTTTTCGCACCAATATATTACCCGGATGAGGATCACTGTGTACAAAACCTGTATTGAAGATCATTTCCGAATACAGTTGACCTATTTTATTGGAAACTGTTACAGGATCTATGTGATTTTTGCGTATATATTCTAAATCGGTAACTTGGCCCCCTTCCAGAAATTCCATGACTAGAACACGTGGCGAACAATAGTCCCAATAGATTTTGGGTATTTTCAGCCAATTGTATTTAAGGAATTGCTTTTGTACTTTTTCAGCATTTTTACCCTCGTTGAGGAAATCCAATTCAATGGGTAAATTCTTTTTAGACTCATCCACCAGCCATTGTATTTTGAAATCGGGAAAGATTAAAGCCAAAGCTTTTACTGCCAATTCCATGGTTTTCATATCCACTCTGGAGTTGCCCTTAACATAAGGATGCTGCACTTTAACCGCCACCACTTCTCCGGTCTTTAATGTGGCTTTATGGACTTGAGCCAAAGAGGCAGTGCCCAAAGGCTCTCTTTCAAAATTATCAAATATATCCTCAGGATTACGTTTCAAATCATGTTTTATAACTTTATATAAATCTTCGATGGGATTTTGTGGAGCATTAGAGTGTAAAACCTTCATGGTTTGAACAAATTCCTTAGGCAGTAAATAATCCAAGGCACCTATATGTTGGCCCACCTTAATATACACGCCCTTATTTGTACAAATTAATTCCAGAAGTCTTTCGGCGGCTATTTTGTGCACTCGACTTTTTTCCTGTTTATATTCAGGGGAATTCTTATCCCATTCTTTGTAATATAATTCACGTTTATAGGTTAAAGCTACATCTACCACAGCCACGGCCGAACGTCCCAGACGCACTATACCCAATGAATTTAAATCGTAGTCATTGGTGTGTAAACTTAAACCGGTTCCAATGGCACTGGCGCCTAAAACGCTATAAGTAAAAACACGTCTTATCATTGTGGCGTTAAGGTGTTATGGCACGTTAGAAGTCTCGAGGAAAACTGAAAATAACAAGAATCATATAAATTTATTTTAACTTGCTAAGGGGGTGGAGGTGCTGGGCATGTGATGGGTTGGTTTTAAATGTATAGAAAATGCGTGGTTAATGATAAATGACAGTTTTTAGGTGGGAGTAAGATTCTACTGTAGTAAAAATTTAAACATATTTTTTTGTCAAGGAAACTTATCTAACATTTACTTTCCATATTTTAACGAAATTTTGCATATGTCTTAATATGTATGTATGTTTTTTGTTTATCGGAAAAGACCCCTTTTAAACCTTTTGATTGATGTTGTTTGCGCGTTATGCCAATTATTGTTCAATTTTTTTAACAGTGGATTTTGCCGTGAAACATAAAAGAAATTAAATTTGCCAAAATTTTGCAAAACTTTTTCAAACAAAAGAAACTTTAAAAAATTTTAATTTAATCGGTTAATAACCCCGTATTATTTAATTAATGTTTTATGCATAAAGTCAATAATTTATGTATATTTAAAGTTTTGTGCAAAATTGTATCTAACCTTAACATACAAATACATTTATGAAACCGGCCTATGATTTGAAAGAGACAAATGAAGATTAATATTGTCAGAAAGAGAGGGCCATCCGGGTCGGTCGTAGTTTGTCTTGGGCCTTATATAGTTTGAAAGAAACCATAAAACGTAAACATTTTAATTTTTAATCTGAAATTTCCAAAAGATATTCATCATCTTCGGATTCCCAATTCCTGCAGTGCTGATTTATGGCATGCATCTGAGTACGTTTAAGTCGGTAGAAATATTGGAACAATGTGGTTTTTTGACACCAAATTGATTAGAGGTGAAACCGGTCGATGTTCGCATAGAACAAAAGAAAAGCTCTCTAAAGAGCAAGTACCCTTATAAGATCCAAAATTTGTTCCATTTCCTATCGAAACGACCACAATCCGACGTACACACAAACAGACTTTCTTCCTGGAACCAAGCTTTACAATAACATGCTGCGCGGATTCAATAAAGATCGTCATTACACATTTCTGACTTTATTTTCTGTATTTCGATGTAGATCCCCAGCCTCCCAGTTTAGAGCTATGGTGTACTCTAATGTTCCCGACAATTCGGTTTGTGTATAACTGTCCAATATGTCCAGTAGTCAATTCAACAAAAGATAAGATTCGTTCCTACAGCTTTGGTTGACATAGTCCTTATGACCCCACTTACACACAAACAACATGCTTTTATCCAAAGTAGAGTTAAACTTTTATAAGGTCAGTGTGTCATAGTTGGACTATGACCCTACTTTGAAGATATGGATCTTCTAAACAGCGCCCAACTTTGTTGGTTCTATGCTCTATGTCACTTACTGATATCGTTCTGTCTAAGACCCGGGGTTTAGTATAAGCAGACATTTTCGTCAGACAGATTTCTGTTTTAATTGAGTTGAATAATTTCGGCTGGTTGAGCCCAGCCGTATTTAGGCCCTTATCGGCAATCCTGCATACATAATTTGAATTCTTGCTGTTTAAAAGTTTTACGAAATCGTTTGAGTAATAGACTGGTATAAATCTTTCATCGGTTAAGGTTTAATCGGTTTAACATGCTGGCCTTTTGGCCGAACCCAGGCGTATATAGGGCCTCCTTGTCCCATCTTCATAAATAATTTGAATGCTTGTTCCTTAAATGTATTAAGACATCGTCTGTGCAGCGTCTTCTTATGAAATTGGGATTTGAATATCATCTCAAAACCCAGCCAAGAGGGGCTTCCCACCTTCATACAAAATTTTAATACTTGTTCCTTAAATGTATTAAGATATCGTCTGCGTAACAGACTGATATAAATCTTTCATCGGTTAAGGTTATCAATTCTGGTTTACTGCGAAATATCCATATATCCTTAACATATGATTGATTCAATTACGAAGAGCTCGTTTAACCAGGAACTGGTCTAAGAAGAGAGTAAGAGTGTCAGTTTGTCGATATCACGGCAGAAAGAAAATCTATACAATTATGCTATACCGATAAAGTAATTCATTGTAGTCGATTAGGTAATTAATAACATCAGTAGAAAAGTAAAACATTCTTTCCACTATTGGTGACATAGTCTCTAAAGGCTTACGACTAGCTGTGCGTATTCTAAAATCCCTATTCTATGGAAGATACATACATACATAAGTATCTTCGACATTGGCACGATTATAAGGAAGAGTTGTATTTTCACTAAAAATGACAGATAAAGAACATGGAGTTTCTTAATTTATGTTAAACAAATTCTTATAAATAGTATACACCTGTTTCTAATTAACACCTTCTTTTTTTATATTACAACATAAAAAATTTCACAAATAAAAAACTTCTAGATCTTCATGCACTATTTGATTTTCCTTTTGAAATTATGAAAATAGACATAAAAAACATAAATTTCATAATATTTCATCATTATTACATTTAATTTTTAGTAATTGCCATATAAATAACTCTATCAACAAGTTAAATTTAAAATTAAAATAACTTTGCCAACAGATTTTTAACAGTTGCCAACTTGCCAAATAAATAAACAACAAAAATCTATTGTTTTTTTGCACTTAACTGCCAAATTATTTAACATACATACCAATAAACCGTTATTTCAATTGCACGCACACTTCATAATGAGATTAATTTCATTGGAATTTGCGCTCAAAAAATGCTTTCTAAACAATAACAACAAGTTGTCTGTCTGATTATCTATCTTTCTCTCTCACTTGCACATTTTGTTTACAAAACTAACAGCAGCTTCTTCTTCTTCTTTCTCTTCAATTATGTTTGCTCATAAACTAAAACAGATTGCAAATGAATTTCTGGCCGTGTTTATTGTTTACAAAATGATTTGTTGTTGCTTTTGTTATTATTTGTACATATTAAAAAAAGGCCCTCCTCACTAACTTTCACTTTAGTTAAATATTTATTATGACGTTACTACACTACTTACATATCAATTAATATTGAATGAATGAATGTTTAAACATGATTGATTTAATGAATGAATGATGACGAAGTGCAAAGTTTAGCAGCCAGTGAGTGAGTGATTTTTAATGCTTTTTATTATGACGTGTTTTATTACTTTTTTTTAAATTTAAACAATTATTACATAAACAATTTAACATTGAATTTGTGCAAACACTAGACACATTTTTACCTTGATTAATTTTAATTTATAATTTTGTTAACAGCCTTTTTTTCTTTAAAATTTTTAATTGAGAAATTTTGTTGGTTTTTTTACTGTAATTTTAACATATTCTCAGCTTATTTGCTTTTAGTTTAACATTACGAAATTCTTTTAAACAAACAAAAATCTACTAAGGGAACTACAAATAAAACGTAATAATAAAACCGACACCGCTTCCACTAAAAAAACGTGTATCGTCGAACGAGTGCAGATAAGAGACTGAAGAAACAAACTTGCGCAGTAAACAATGTTGTTGTCAGCTTGATTACAATTGCAACCGCACAACCACAGGCAACCATGTGTTGCCAAATGCTGGGAAAGTTTTTGTGGAAATTTTTGAGTGTAAAGGCCCAAATAGACTACACAAGCGGCTTGACAAACATACCAATATTTTACGTTTGTGCAAGCCTGTTGTGTAGTGTATGAGGGTGTTTCGTGTTTGTACAAATGCTGGCTGTTTGTTTGTACAAAAATTTAAAAAATTTGATTTTTACACAAACATATTGAATTTTTTTCAAACCGTTTGTATTGTTTATATTTATTAACAACAAAATTTTCACAAAATGTCCATTTATAAGAAAAATTGTCATCTGTATCTTTTCAAGTCCACAAAAACGTGAAAAAATCGGTGTTTGTACGAGCAATGTTTGTGTAGTGTGTGTGCGAATGAAAAAAGTATGTTTGATAAGCCGCTTGTGTAGTCTATTTGGGCCTTAAGCAAAAGTGCTCATTGCTAGTAGCAGTTCTAGGCGACCGTTAGTCGCTTGTCGACAGTGGCCCCTAATGTAATCATTTAAATGTTTGTTGTGACAGTTGTTTGAGATGGAAAAATGAAAGTTATCGATAAAAACAACGAGATGATAAAGTAAACAGTTAAAAAACGTTATATTTAAACTGTTGAAAACACAATATATACAAACAAGTAGACTGTTACATTATATAGAGAGTGGAGTCAAATACGAACATATAAATTTAGCGTGATTTTGGATCCTATAAAATTATCTTATATGGAATCACTAAACCTAATTTTTAAGCCAGTTATAAACTTTAAAGTCTAGTCTAGTCTACAGTCTAGTCTATATTCTAGTCTGTAGTGTAGTCTACAGTTTTTAGTCTAGTCCACTTGACTGCAGCCTTGTCTATTGTTTACTCTATGACCTAGTTTTTAGTCTAGTCTTTAGACTAGTCTATAGTCTAGTCTACAATCTCGTTCACAGTCTAGACTATAGTCTAGTCCATAGCCTAGTATATAGTCTATTCTATAGTCTAGTCTATAGTCTATTCTATAGTCTAGTGTACTGTATTGTATATAGTCCAATCTGTTGTATAGTATATAGTCTACAGTCTATAGACTAGTTCAGTCTATAGTCTAGTCCATAATGTAACATGTAGTCTAATCTATAGCTTAGTCTATAGTCTAGTCAGTGGTCGGATCCATTATGGACCTAATCTCATTAATCTGACAGATAGATTTATATCGTATATCATTACTATACCGGTATAACATATTTAAATCAATTATACCTAAATCTATATATTTTCAGCGCTGCAACAATCTCAAAATGCCTATATTGTAACTAGCGACAACTCCAACAACAACAATAATAACAGTCCAGATACGGAGGCCAAAGAATTTGATTTACCACCTGCTTACAACGAAGTGGTGCAATCCTACATATTGGCTAAGCAGCAACAACAAGAACAATCCGGAGAAAATTCCACAACTGATGTAGCATCGGGCATGACAACCAATCCCTCTACGAACACTATTTCAACAGCTATTTCGACATTAACCATCGATACTGAAATATCAAATAGTAACTATGCTAGCGCTGTAAATTTAAATATTCCCTCTACTTCAAGCATAATGACAGAGACAACTGTGATATCTAATCCAC